AGAAAAGTATATTGACAAGAACGTCAACTACTTCATGGCAGTGCAAGAAGAGGTGTTGCGACGGTGGCCGTTGCATAAACACAGAGCTGAACTTTTGGAGTAGGCTTCAACGCCTCCAAATAAGGGCCTGATTGACGTCATCTGGACGCCATATTGAAATTTCGTACTGACGGCTCCAATTGTCTATTCAAAAGTAATATTTGTGTTCATTGTTCCGGCCGTTCTCAAGGAATATATATATATATATATATATATATATATATATATATATATATATATATATATATATATATATATATATATATATATATATTACACACACTGAGAGTTTAATTTTGTCCTGGACTAAAGTATATTTGCTATTTTTTTCAGTAAGCAATTGTGGTGGTCTTATATGCCCTACAGAGGGTGATATAAGCCTTAATCGCAACACAAATCAGTGATTGGTGTTGCCATGTTTGTGTCACGGGTCTGACTTGGTTCATATCTGGATCAAGTCAATCTTAAAACCTTTCCATTTTTGTTTAAGACAAAATCATATAGATATTAGACGTATATATTCCAGAGCGCCGAGGGGTGACTGATCAAGCTGTCACATTTAATGGTCGACGTAAATAAATGTTATATTCAATAACCACGTAAAGCCCAGACTAATTACCTCTGAGGACTGGCGTTGCAGGATATTCACACACGGAGCAACTGAAACGTGACACACGGAGCAACTGAAACGTGACACACGGAGCAACTGAAACGTGACACACGGAGCAACTGGAACGTGACACACGGAGCAACTGGAACGTGACACACGGAGCAACTGGAACGTGACACACGGAGCAACTGGAACGTGACACACGGAGCAACTGGAACGTGACACACGGAGCAACTGGAACGTGACACACGGAGCAACTGAAACGTGACACACGGAGCAACTGAAACGTGACACACGGAGCAACTGAAACGTGACACACGGAGCAACTGGAACGTGACACACGGAGCAACTGGAACGTGACACACGGAGCAACTGAAACGTGACACACGGAGCAACTGAAACGTGACACACGGAGCAACTGGAACGTGACACACGGAGCAACTGAAACGTGACACACGGAGCAACTGGAACGTGACACACGGAGCAACTGAAACGTGACACACGGAGCACCGTATCTTATTTATGTTAATTATTTAACGGGATACACAAAGTGTCTACATTAGGGAGCCTACAAAGGGAACCGGTCGGCCGAGCGGATAGCACGCTGGACTTGTGATCCTGTGGTCCTATGTTCGATCCCAGGCGCCGGCGAGAAACAATGGGCAAAGTTTCTTTCACCCTATGCCCCTGTTACCTAGCAGTAAAATAGGTACCTGGGTGTTAGTCAGCTGTCACGGGCTGCTTCCTAGGGGTGGAGGCCTGGTCGAGGACCGGGCCGCGGGGACACTAAAAAGCCCCGAAATCATCTCAAGATAACCTCAAGATAAGGGGATTGTAAAGAGAAATGTAACAATCATCTGAGCCTGTCAGTGTTTTATGTACTCCTTTTATGGTTATATACAATATTTTTATGTAATTCTTTTATGTAAACAAAGAATATTTTTATGCAAAGCTTTTATGCCAATTAAACAATACTTGTGAGTATTGTTTTTATTCTTATATTGAATACTTTTTTGTAATCTTTGTAAATAACTACTTACACGGATTGTATATATATGGATGATAATACATACTCTTGTAATATAAGTCGACTACGGGCTCACCATAGCCCGTGCTACTTGGAACTTTAGTTCCGGGTAGCTGAATCTTAAACAACAACAACAATACTCTTGAAGTTAATGACAAGGTTATGCCTTAATCCAATTGGCATATGTTATCTTGAGATGATTTCGGGGCTTTAGTGTCCCCGCGGCCCGGTCCTCGACCATGCCTCCACCCCCCAGGAAGCAGCCCGTGACAGCTGACTAATACCCAGGTAACTATTTTACTGCTAGGTAACAGGGGCATAGGGTGAAAGAAACTCTGCCCATTGTTTCTCGCCGGCGCCTGGGATCGAACCCAGGACCACAGGATCACAAGTCCCGCGTGCTGTCCGCTCGGCCGACCGGCTCCCCAATGTATAGCATTATTACACAAACACAACTCTCCAGTGCCCAGTCCATCCTCCTAAACTGATAACACAACTATTTGCTCAAACATACACATATGAACTGTGCGGTCAACATTATACACGCCTTCTAGTTTTAATATTTTAGAGGGCACAAAAAACTTAAGCAATCCTAGGCTTAGTAGTACATATATGTACTATATGAATCCTAAGATAGCGCAGATCTGACCACAAGCCTTGGTCAAATTAGGTTAGGTTCTGTGCTTAAATTTTCATATTTTATGATATGCCATTTGGGCTAATTCAATAATACAATATTAACTTTTTTGAGTCCAACTGCCCCTTTCTGTACGATTGACAAAACAGTTCTAATAAATAACACAGGAATACAAAGAGCCATCGTATACAAGACAGTTTGTCAACGGATTTTAATGCCAGTCAAACCTTACCAAACCTTACCAAACTTACGAGCCTAACACAGCCTAGTCCAAAGCAATACATCATAACCTTACGATATATACGCATACGGTTTTCTGACAGCGAGCCTTGTCTTCTATACGATTTTGCCATACCATAAATTGTATTAAATTACACTGAATTTGCATGATTCATAGCTTCTTTTTTAAATATATGTAATACGATAATTTTTGCACACTGGGCCTGAGAATACTTACAGTTATCCAGGGACAAATTTTGTGTTAATACTTCTCAAAATTCACCTCCCCCCCCCACCATGTTCATCATCAATTCATGTTCAGAGTTCAGCCCGTAACACCTCATTGTCAATCCGTGATTGTTCAGACTTCAGCCCGCAACACCTCATTGTCAATCCGTGATTGTTCAGACTTCAGCCCGCAACAAAGGCACATGAAGCACACCTTTTTAAATGCTTCTCTTGAGTACTCAAATGTAAATAATTTCCAACGGAACCAAAACAACTAACCTAGAGTAATCTAGCTTTACCTAGCGTAACCTAGCTTTACCTAGCGTAACCTAGCTTTACCTAGCGTAACCTAGCTTTACCTAGCGTAACCTAGCTTTACCTAGAGTAACCTAGCTTTACCTAGCGTAACCTAGCTTTACCTAGAGTAACCTAGCTTTACCTAGCGTAACCTAGCTTTACCTAGCGTAACCTAGCTTTACCTAGAGTAACCTAGCTTTACCTAGAGTAACCTAGCTTTACCTAGCGTAACCTAGCTTTACCTAGCGTAACCTAGCTTTACCTAGAGTAACCTAGCTTTACCTAGCGTAACCTAGCTTTACCTAGAGTAACCTAGCTTTACCTAGCGTAACCTAGCTTTACCTAGAGTAACCTAGCTTTACCTAGCGTAACCTAGCTTTACCTAGAGTAACCTAGCTTTACCTAGCGTAACCTAGCTTTACCTAGAGTAACCTAGCTTTACCTAGCGTAACCTAGCTTTACCTAACGTTGACCAGACCACACACTAGAAAGTGAAGGGACGACGACGTTTCGGTCCGTCCTGGACCATTCTCAAGTCGATTGTGCATAGGATTTACCTAGCGTAACCTAGCTTTACCTAGCGTAACCTAGCTTTACCTAGCATAACCTAGCTTTACCTAGCATCATTTACCCTAACTGAGGGTAAACCTAAATCACGTCTCCACCAAGGCAATCTAAATAGAATTTGTAAGACCAGTACTGGAATATACAGTACCGACATGGGAACCGCATTTTGTGAAGCATAAACACAAAATTGAAAAAAACTGAGATTTCCAGCAAGATTGATGCTATAGCTAAGATGATTAAGCTATGAGTATAAACTAAAGGGACCAGATCTCACAATCCTGGAGGATAGAAGACACAGGGGATATGATCATAACGTACAAGATACTGTGTAAATAGACAAGATAGACAAGTAAATATTTAATTTGAAAGAAAGTAGGACAAGATGACGTAAGTGGAAGTTTAAACACAAAAAAGGTTGAAGGAATGAAAGGAAATACTCGTATCCTGAACGGCTGGTCAACACGCGAAATGCACTAAAATAGTAGTTGTTGAAGCCATCTTCAATTTAAAAGCTAAATTCGACAAGGAATTCGAACATTAGGATACTTAAATTTTAACGCAACAAATACAAATAAGCTACTAGGGGGAGGGGGCATAGAAAGCTAGACCTCAGCTCCCCGTAAGCATTGACAGGTAAACATAACCTAGCCCTGGTGCCCTGATAATGGTAGCCTAACCTAATCTAACCTAGCCTAACCGAGCGTAACCAAGGCATAACTATTTATGCACACAAATATGATATATGATAATATTCATTTATATATGTATTGAATGAATAAACTTAATTCTACGACGAATTGTATAAAAAGGTGTTCGCTATCTTTAGTATAGGGCCCGTATTTTTTTTATTTCTTTATTACCTAAAAAGACTACTTAAATAAAAATAATTTAAACCGATCTTACGTGGGAGGGAAGGACTAGGGAGTGCTGGTAACGCAGCTAGTCCTCTCAAGTTCTTACAACGTGCAGAAAAAAATGTACTTAATGGCCTGAACATAACCTAACCTAGTGATCTACGCACAGAAAACGTGAATGTAATTTTTGCATAGCAGGACCAGGAGTATCCTAGTGAAGGAGTCAGGCCTAGGGGTGCCCTAGTCAGCGGGTCATGACTAAGGGTGTCATGGTAAAGATGGGGGGCCTGGGCTGAGGAGGGGGGCAGTGCCCTGATAAATGGGAAGGAGGGCCTAGACTATAAGTGCCCTGGTAAAGGAAGAGAGGACTTAGAGTAAGGGTGCCCTGGTAATGGTAGAGGGGCCATGTCTAGGGGTGCCCTGGTGATGGGCGAGGGGGGCCTGGACCTGGGATGCGCGGTGGGGTGCGCGGGGCGGGAGGTGCTGCGCCGTGTGGTGGCACCTCGGCGCGGGGCGGTCAGTGTGTGTGGTGCTCGTGCAGTGGAAGGGTGTGCGCGTCCCTCGCTCGGGAGTGATCCAGTGATGCCCAGCGCGCAGTGAGTGCAGTGCCTGAGCGACATGCTGACCGCCTTGCAGGGGGGGCTGTATACCTCTCCCTCGCGACCCCTCCCCCCATCGCCCCCCATGGTGACTCCTACTGCTGATGCACCCTTACCTTCCCCAAAGTCTCGACACCAGCTGCAGTACTGCGATGCCTGCAACACCGCCTGTGTGTTCATGAACAGTCGGAGGCGCAAGTTCCAGGCTCGCTATGAAGGCTACGTACTGCTCAAGAGGGTGGCGGCCCTCAGTACGCGCCTTCATCTGCCCTACGTCATGGCCGAGGGCGACAGTCCTCCTTATCACCGCCGTCACTCGTGCGGCGACGTCTTGGATGAGAACGGCGACCCTCCCTCGGACGATGTAGAAATACAAGTTCCGCAGACGTCGCCGCCGAACTCATACTCCAGGTCGATGTCGCACTGTGAGTGGCGTCGCCCCGAGGACGACTCGACTCCCACTTGGGAGAAGGTGGTGAATATGGAGGAACCTTGCCAGCCAGATCGCCGCCCCACCACCCCCACCCACACCACCACCCTCGGCACTCAGCCCTCCGTCGGGGGTGTGGAGGTCAGGAGTGTGGATCCCTCGGGTCGCAAACCCCGCCGGCACTCCGCTATGATGGAGCGGTTGGCCTGCGGCCACCAGCGGCTCTGCAGGAAGAAGTCTCGTTCTCAGGACAACCTGGTTGGTCGCCGGGGCAGCGGGGGCGGGGGCGGAGGGCCCCTTCGTCTCAATAACAGCATCATTCCGCCCCCTGCGGCCCTCACCACCTCCCTCTCCCGTTCCGAGGGCAGCATCCATAACGTCCACGCTGTCTTGAGCGCCGTGCCCGTCATGGTCGACGACGTGGGCGTGGGCGGCCTGCGGGCGGAGGTTGGTGAACTGGCCAGGCTGCCCAAGCGGCTCTTACACCGCGTCACGGGCGAAGTAGGACAGCTGGTGTTCGACCTTGAGGGCTGGCGGGAGGAATACCTCGTCCTCACGCACACCGCCATCGCTGCCAGAACGGTGAGTCTTCTACCCATCTTCCTTGACTCAAGCTTTTCCCGTTCACCATTATTTTCTCATTTATACTCACTATCAGTAAATTTCCTTTTTGCAGGTATTTAAATCACATATTTGGTGTGGTTACTCATTGTCGGGGACATGAAGCCTGTTTTGGCTTAATTAACAACCCCCCCCCCCTTTAGTCTAACGATTGACCTTCCCAAGGATGCAACCCACAACAGTTAACTAACTCTCGGGTACCAATTTACTGCTAAGTGAACAGGAGTATCGGTTATAAGCATTAGTACTGAAACGTCATAGCCTGCCTGGTAATTGGATAATGGCTCAATCGGTGGAATGCCACAAAAAGAACTGGTGTCATACGACCAGGGTTTTTGAAGGGAGCGGAGGGCCGGCCTGGCTGAGCCACCGGAGCAACACAGTATTACTAACCAGGGCCTGCTTGGATTACCGATACTTGTCGCTGGTGGTGGCTGTAAGTGATGAATCTCTCAATCCTGAGCATTCCATGTGTAAACTGCGAGCAGGAGCGGGTTCATACTCAAACATTATATTATTTAATGTCCAGTCTTTAGACCTTTAGTCCTGCCGGTATGAGGTACATGCAACTTTGCAATAACTGTATCATATCGTGTTCTTGAGGATAGGTACATGCAACTTTTGCAATTACTGTATCCTCTCCCGTGTATTTGAGGATAGCCTCATATGCTCCTGTATGACTTGTCCTGCGGTGTGGGAATTTCAGTATCACACACTATGTAACCATTTTTGTAGTCTAGAGTGATAGGCATAAATAAAGATGTTCTTCAGGTTAACAATACAGAAAAAAGTCACCGTCTTTCTCGCCTTGTGTAGCTATGCGCATTTTGTCATTTACAATCTCGCTATTATTGATCGTCTGGGGAAATGCACGCGGACCAAGCCGTTACGTCCACTGAGCAGAGAGGCAGATCTCCTTTACCGCTCAAGCAAATTTAACTTTCTCAGTCCTAGATATGTGCACAGATGGTTAGCCACTTTTAGTGCACCAAGATTTCTCTCTCGTCAGATATAACCTAAAAAAAAGCTACTTTACCTTACCTTGCTAAAATATGGATCGTGAATATAATATTTGTTATAAATACTTGTAGTTATTAATAATTTAAATAATAATTATAGCTAGAGTAATTGTTATGAGTGATCCCGTCATGAGAGAGTTCTTAGGGTTCTGTCGTCGTCAGGACCCTCTTCGTTATTCTTTAATTCGTTAGAGTCCTGCAGTGTGACAAGTAGAGCCTGTGCAAGTATTGGTTTCGTATATTTTCCGTCGCGCGTGCCCAGCTCATAGCATCATATCATGAGTTTGACCTCAGACTTGAAACACTTATGTTAACATTCGGCCATGCTGAACTACGGTAACTGTGCGCTGAGGCCCCTTGTGGCAACTTGAGAATCAGCAGTTTTTTGTGGCATCGAATATCTATCTGGAAAGTGAATTAGTCAATCCAAATTTAGTTTTTGTTTTGTACTGCTATTTTGGATATCTTGAAAATGTTTACAGTTAATGGCTTTAAATATGCCTTGAGATAACACACTTTACATAATTATTTTGAGCAATGCTGCTCCAGTGATTGAACAAGACACTTTATTCCTAACAATATATATAAATCGTTGCAATTACGGCCGTTTTTCAAACAATATATTGATTTGAAGGGTGTATGTTTAAGCTCTATATCTAGCTAATGTTCTTATTAAATTACTTCAGATTTGGTACATATGCATAGGATAAGACTGCTTTCGTCTCCTGTTATTTATGAGAACTTATAATTTAATATAACATGAAGGTGGGGTCTTAATATATAATTGATGTCTTCAAGTTTGTGACTAATTATATTCTCATTCGGCTATATCATGTTTTAATACATCTTAAAAGGAATTTCATCCAAATTGGTATAGATACCAGCGTCATGTACTTTTCCCTGCTCCCTGGAACATTATCTGCTACAACTTTAGGTAGATAGTTCTGTGGCAGTGGCGGTATTGCCGTCTAGAGGGCAGTAGTGTGTGGGGGCTTGTAAAGCCCAGGGGCCAGATTCACGAAAGCGCTTACGCAAACACTTACGAACCTGTCCATCTTTTCTCAATCTTTGGCGGCTTTGTTTCCAATTATTAAACAGTTAATGAGCTGTTTATAACAATATAGCACCAGGAGGCTGTTTTATAACAATAACAACAGTTGAATGGAAAGTTTTTATGCTTGTAAACTGTTTAATAAATGTAACCAAAGCCGTCAAAGATTGAGGAAAGATGTACACATTCGTAAGTGCTTGCGTAAGTGCTTTCGTAAATCTGGCCCCATCTTCTGACCGAAGAATAGGAAATAGACTTAAGGGTGTTTCATTATAGGGATGGGTTCTGTTGGAACAAAAGTTCAACCTCAGCTGATTTGACTCATCCTGTTGTTGGTGAGCGCAGTTGAGATTAGCAAACCGAACCGAAAGGTTAGATGAATATTATGTTTGTTCAGTTACTGTGACCTCGTTATTACGACGCCAGATGAAGCAGTATATGTTATATTACAGTGTGTCAGAGAAAAAGAAGATACACATGTCATATTCCAGGGTGTCGAAGAGGCTGGCCATACGCGGGTGTAAGAGAGGAGGGTATATACGCGGGTGTTAGAGAGGAGGGTATATACGCGGGTGTTAGAGAGGAGGGTATATACGCGGGTGTCAGAGAGGAGGCTATATACGCGGGTGTTAAAGAGGAGGCTATATACGCGGGTGTAAGAGAGGAGGCTATATACGCGGGTGTTAAAGAGGCTATCGTGGGTGTCAGAGAGACTATCGTGGTGTCAGAGAGAGGAGGGTGTATATGAGTGTCGGAGAGCACCCTGACACGTGGTAAGGTATATCCATCATCAGTTACTCTTCCCACTGTTTTGTTAGCTTTCCAAGAAGAAACTATTTATAGCTGGCAGAGAACAAAGTGAAATGATGAATATCACCCGTCCGGGTGATCATTAGTCTTACGTTGCAGTGTTCTGTTATGCGACCCGTTTCACGTTCTGGGCTCTACGTATCGCAAATATAGAAAGCGGACAGAAATATTTCCTCCATACGAGGCCTTATTGACGCCATGGTCAAGCAGCCTAGTCTAGCGTATTCGCTAGACTAGGAACTTGCCACGAACTAGGAACTAGTTCGCTAGATTAGTTCGCTAGACTAGGAACTAGGCACCAATTGAAATTGAAATTGAAATAAGTTTATTGAGGTAAAATACACACAAAGGGATGAGGTAGCTCAAGCTATTCTCACCCCGTTCAGTACAACGTGTTAATACATACATAGACACACATCACAAACAATAAACATATTACCAAACATTCTGAGAGATAAACATATACATTTCCTCCTTCACAAGTAGTATGGCATCAGACGTACACAAATATTTTTATGACCTAGGTCACAAAGAACTTGTCAAAATTATTCCAATATATTTTTTGGGCCCCCCTCACTATTTGTGTGGAAGCACTCATCGCAATGCACATGTTTTTATGTGGCAATATATATATATATGTTAAGAATTGCTTTTTGAATTAAGCTGGAGAGGTTGATGATACGTCCGTTGACGTAGTCTCAAAACACCAGACTGTCCGGGTCGTCTGGTATGCCACTCTACTGAGTAGCTTAACGGAAATATGTTAATAAGTTTCTCTATCTTTCTCATTCATTCTTTATCTCTTATTTTCTGTTTTTTATATTTTTTATCTGCATGAGCCTGTGTTTGTTATATAAGTTCTTACTATGAATATTATTACTTTATAAATAATATTATTACTTATATTATTACTATTTATTAGTAATATTATTACTATTATTATTAGTAGTAATATTATTACTATTATTATTATTAGAAGTAATATTATTACTATTATTATACTTCCTGAGCTGTTGGAAGCACTAGATAATGCTTAGGGCCTGCTTGATACCTGGTTGATGGGATTCTGGGAGTTCTTCTACTCCCCAAGCCCGGCCCGAGGCCAGGCTCGACTAGTGAGAGTTTGGTCCGCCAGGCTGTTGCTTGGAGCGGCCCGAAGGCCCACATACCCACCACAGGCCTAATCATACGTTCACCATAGCTTGCAGTATAATGACGACAAGCAAGCCTCGTATCGACAAGTCATTTTAGTTACGAGAGATGGATGGCTGGGTGATGTTTATATAGGCTGAGACCTCGGCTACGGCTGCTCTTATATCTTCCAGCTACGCTACCTGCCACGAAAATGTATATATATGCTGGTTAGAATTTTAATTTGCCATTGTAAAAGCACAATGATATTCTGTGGTTGCATGTTCAACAATCCAATACGTTATCTGTAGTGGAACAGAATTCCTTCAATGTAGAAGACGAAAAGTTATGCTGATTATCATTGTAATTTGCCATTTTAACATGACAATGTCAACTCTCTTCTGTAATTGAGAGTTCAACAACTCTCTACAAAATGTGAATTTAACATATCACTAACCCTGTCGACGGAGGACAAACGAGAATGTATGTGTACTGTTCTGGTTAGCAGTGTAGTTGAATAGCCACGTCTGTGGTAGAAAAAATACTCCTCCGCACAAGGAATATAACTGATTTTGTACATAAGACGGTTCACCGTCGTATTTTCGTTTATATTAAAATCTGCGGTAAGGTAACCTAACAGCGCATTAGGCTAATTCAGCCTAACCTTACGATATATACAGTTTTAACTATTATTAAACAACCATGAACGATTTGACCACAGCCTACGCTGTCAACAGCAGCAGAGCGGACATCACCTGCATATATTCTTACTGTATACCGTATATATTGGATGCAGTCTTTCTAGTTCGCTGTCCACTCAGGCGAGGCCCCTGCCCCTCTGTGTGTGTGTGTGTGAACCATTAACCTAGCATAATACGCCACATTACTTAATTAAACTAATGGCACATGTGTCAGGGACTGGATGCAGCTGTCCTCAACCTCTCTACCGT